ACCTGCGGGGAACTCTGCAAAAAACGCATCTTCGCACGGGCAGCCCGTGCGTTGGCCATTTATATGCTTTAGTTGCAAGGCAATTGTCTAGGAATATTGCGCGATTCGTCGTCCGAGTGGCAACAACAGTGCGGTGCCGTGGGCTGTTTTTGAGCGCTGCAAGAATGGGCTTGAGCGATGTCCCTGATGTAAAGATTGATCCCGATGGTGTCTTCAAGTATATTCTGATAAAGGTGTGTTCTTGTTAATTAACAGCTGCAGTTTTTAATTTAGCGGAGAAAAGTGACCTGGTTGCAAGTGCTGCACCTGTTAATCGGTGGGACGGATTAACCTCGCTTCTTTTGCTTCATGCCTGAAGCGGCCTGCGGCAGCATTCGCTGATTAACGTAGCACTTAGTTTCGTTCTTGTTTATTAGAAAATGAGGCTTTCAGTTTAAGCAAAATTGATGAAGTGTCAGTTGTTCTGCGCCGCTTTTTTAAAGGCCTAGGTTTGGAGGCACGGTGATTGATTTTACCTCGCAGGGCATCCGTTTTGACTGGAAGTCGGAGTGTTTCGAATCTTTATGCTTCACTCGCAAAAATTTTCCAACTGCTCTGCGATCAGTCGATTGGTTGGTTGACATTGCAGCTATATTTGCAGGTAACAGAGAAGGGATCCAAGAACGAGAAAGTGATTGTGCGTGGCTTTCGCCGTTGCGCATATCATGGCGATATTCTGGATGAGACGGAAACGGAGCTCGGCGCGGACTATGAACTGAAGTGCCTGGGCGGGGGTCGGATCAAACATGAGCCCAAAAATCGTAGCATACTGGTGTATGGCTATTCGCAGGTGGGCGTATCTTTTGCGGTGTGCAATGCTTGACATTTTGGGGCGGAAAACTAGAGCAAAAGGAGAAATGTTTGAAAAATAACGACATGTAACAGAATTAGGGAAGCAGTTGTCCGTTGGCCATTCTGTTTTTATGCGTTTTTTGCAAAAAAATGCATATTATAGAGTGTGTGTCTGTGCGTATGCGCGTGTGCAAATTTCGATTTTCAGGTCTAGAACATCTATGAAGCTGGGCTTTTAGCAGCTTATTCTACCGCTGTGGATGGGTTCTTAGGCGTAAAATGAATATGCACATCATACCAGTTCTCATGTTCGGGAACGTGAAAGATTTTTTGGCGGGAGAACGATTCCGTGAGCCAGACAAGCTAGAACATTGAAATTTTATGAAGATATACCATTGCCAGTCCGAGGGTCCTCCTTCGATCTCACTTATGGATACATGCAATTTAATTCGGACAGTTTCGCAACCCTTTTATAGTGGCTTATGTAAATGGTCCACAACTATTTTTGGATAAATGTATATGAAAACAGTTTTAAATTGCCCCACATCTCACGAACGGTGCAATTTGGCGCTGAAAGTTCCTGTACATTATCACCGTAAAAGTAAAAATTGATAACAGATCCTAATTTAATGCTCTTCTCTTAGTTAGACGTGCCTGCCCCAAAAACCAGTGTTACTTAGCAACAAATATGCATTGCGGAAACTGCGCGTGCCGCTGTTGGTTTCCTTTTATGGTTCTTTGTGTATTTATATAAATGCAAGGACGATTACTGTCATGAGGTTG